TTTAAATATATTCCCTTTTTAATGTAACAAGCGGTTGCGCCTGTATCAATTAGTACTTTAAAATTTTTATTTTCTTTTCTGTCAAATCGTATTAAGTAAGGTAATCTTACTCTTGCCCTTCCCCTAAAAAATGGTCCTCCTGAATATTATTAATTTTCATGGTTTTATTTTGTGGTTGATTTACTGTACTCTCAAGCTCTCGCTTTACTGGAAAATGACTTGAGCCAGCTGCTTGATTTGCAAAGTTTTGTGGATTATTACGGCTATAATTATGTTGATAATAGTGTGGTCGACCTGAATACGGACGATCTTGGTTTTGGTTTGTGTCAAAATTTTGGGTATATCCCTGACGATAATTATTAGATTGCCCTTTTGGTCGGTTTACGAACTGTATGGAAGGATCGACTTCCATTGGTTCTGGGGTTTGTTGTCCCTGAACGTTGTTCTGGCCGAAATAAGTCTGTTGGGGCCAACTTTGGTTTTGGCTGTTTCCCCATTTTGGTTTATTAAAGTTTTGTTTTGGTTGAACCGAGTTAAACCTTAGGTAATTATTTTGCCTTCGGTTTTCATTTTGAAAGCCATAATATCTATTGGCGAATTGGGCTCTAAAATTATTTGATTCCAGTTCTTGCACTTTTGCTAAGGCGTTTGGAAGGTCGGGTGGATTTAGCGAGAAAAGTGTCTCTGATATTGATCCGTTTAGACCAGAAATAAAGATTCTTAGAGCATTGCTCCTAATTACTTTATTAGTTTCTTTTGTAATTTCGCTTTCTTTACCGTATGTCATTATGGTCTTATTGATCAGTAGGGTCATCTTTTTATTTACCTCATTATAGAACTCCGTAATAGACAATTTACCTTGTCTAAGAATACTTAGTTCAGCTTCTAGAACGTGGATTGGTCTTCTATCATTATAGATAAAATCCAATCTAGACAAAATTGCATTGAAATTAAGAACTGTTCCATGGTTGGTTAGGGCGTCATGTGCCGCTCCCATGATTTTGTTACGAAGTATGGTTAACGCTATAAAATATTGCTCACTGTTTATTTTATATAAACTCATTGCTGTCTCTGCAGCCTCCCTCCAGCCTACATACTGAGTTTGCTCCCCATTAAATTTTGGCAGAGCTTGAATCACTTCTAATGTTGTATCACAACTTATATTTGGATTAATTGTCTGAATTTTATAATCTTCTACCGTTTTTTCCTTACTTTCTACTTTTGCCGATAATTCATTAATTTTTGTAGTCAATTCATTTAACTGGACCTTTATCAATCTATTTATTAATTCTGTTGTAATAGAACTGGTTCCAATTCCACTACCTAATGTGCTTGATCCACCACCGGTTGCCATGTTTAAATTTTGAAAATTATTTATTATATCTTCCAGATTGTTTAATCGTATTTTCAAGAGTATTTATTTAAGTATTTAATTTTTCAAGAGATTTGACTTAGTTTTATAAAATTTTTTGTTAGTATTTTTTATATGTAATGTAAATTTAATGTATAACTAAGGATAAGCTTTTCTTTAATTTCTCACGATGATGTTGTATCCTTTCCTCCTTAGTTAGATGTCCTGTTTGGTTTCTTCCTTCGGCTATCTGTATCCTTTTCTCCTTGGTTAAATGTTCTGTTGGATGTCTTCCTTCTTTCTTTCGTTGGATCGGTTAGTCAGCTTTTGTATTTAATTGAATTTATTTATTCCTTTTGTATTTATTCCCTTTTTTTTAATTATTTTTTGTATTTCTTTGTATATTGTTTTTTGTATTATTTTTTGTATATTGTTTTTTTGTTAAACTTTTCTGTTTATAAAATGTTTTTGATTTATTGTTTTTTTTGCTTATTCGGGTCTCTTGAAAAGCTCCTCTTGAAAAATCACTGACGCACTGTGTGGATTTGTTTAGAGTTGTTTTTGTTTGTGTTGTTTTTCATTTATTAATTTATTTTTCAGTGACCACGGTTTTTTAATTTTGAACACTGAATTTTAATGTGTTTTTTTGTAATGTTTTTTATATATATTTTTTATTTTTTATCGGAGTCTTTGCCAATCACTAGTCTTCGGTTTGCCCGTTCAACGCGATTAAATTGGGATTTATATGAGTTTTTCTGAGCCACGCTGGTGCTTTCCTTTTAATTAATTTGTTTTTATTTTAATTAATTATTTATTAGAATCACCTTTATTTGCATGGCCCCACGTTGGGCACCAATTATATTTATCCCGAAGTTCACTTTTTAAAAAAATAATTTTTAATTTTTAATTTTTTTTTTTTTAAAACTTTATTTATTATTTCTTATTTGGTTCACAAACTTTATTTAAACGCTTAGGCTAGACCGATTGTATGTGAAAGGCTTGCTCCCGGAATAAGACTGCCAATTTTTAATTGCCAGATAACCAACAAACCTCGGCTTAAGAGAAATAACCCAAAAGGGTACTTGGAGAGAATAATTCTAAGAGAAAGGGACAATTTGCTGATGCAGTAGTTGAGTCATTCGTGAAGAGTGATAAGATCGGAAGATCGAACCAATTCGGACTGGTGACGGCGAGTCGGCTCTAATGTTTATGTCTGGCTTGGGCCATGGAAAATTTCATGGGAATGTTTACAAGTGGAGCTTGATGTTTAGTCTGGATAATCTTTTGGGGATCATCAGAAACGAGTGAGGGGAAATTAGGAGACAAGATAAGAAACGGCATGACGCATTCAGCAGGGGCTACTGCGTTTTGCAAATAATGTTTACATTGCCTTTTTGGTGAGGCAATTTATGAGTTGGATAACATGCATACATACATATATATGAGATAAAAATAAAAGCCGTGTTTTGCTACTTCGTTGTGTGTATTTAATTTTAATGTTTTTAAGAAAGTCATTACATATTTCAAATAGTTTATATAGTCTTAGTTTTGTATAATAGTTTTCCTTTTGGATCCATTTTAATCTTAGATTAGTTTGTCGTAAAAATAAAAGTAATTGCCGTCTTCAGTGACTAATATAAAAATAACAAATGCGTATAACTATTACAAGTGAATGCGTCTTCAATGACTAGGTCTTACAATATGCTTAAAAATATGATAATGAAATTTTGTCTCCAATGACTAATATTAAATAAAAAAAAAAAAATTTGATGTGTGGCCAGCCACAAATTTTAGAACTTTTCGACAGGTGCCGCAAAATAGCCACCCTTCCACGGCACTTTCGTCTTCTTTAAGAATAGAATGTAAAATGTTCCACATATTGCAATATTGCGCATTGCCTTTTGTGATCTACTGTTGCTTTTTGTACATTTGCTTTGAGTGCACTGTGCAGTTCACTAATCTGCGCAACAGTGTCTGGTGAAATAGAATCTACGCTTACTGTTTGAGTGAGTGACGAAATGCAAAAACACGAAACACGGAAAGCGATTTGTGCATTTGGGTGTGTTGTTCTATTCCTTTTGTTTGTGAGTGCGACAAGGACTCCAAACTTATAAGTGTGATTCGGGTGCCAAAAAGTAACACCCTTGACGTTCTCTGGCCGGCACCCAAGAAGAGTTAAATACAACGCTTTCTAAATTGTAGGACCAACCATCAATAGATCATTTAGGCACTTCTGTGTTAATGTCTTAGAAGACGCATCAAACACGACTCGTAATTTGGTCGATGTGCTTTGAGGCCGTAAAACACACTGATGCGGTATGGCGTCGTGTGGAGTAGCAATAACATCATCGCTTCTAGGGCACAAATGACCTACGGAATCGTATTCTTCCATAAATTCCAAATACATTTTCTTTAAATTCGGATCTCGAAATAATCTTCTCTCGAGCGACAAAAAACGGCGTTTGGCTACCTCGAACGAGTCTCCCAAAATGATTGGATCCGATTTAAATGAAAGCCTGACTTCGAATCGACCTGAAAGCAGTACAACAGTATTTTTCTGATAGTGTTTCTCACATAACTCTTGTTTACGTGACAACAGCTTTTTAGAAGTTGGCACTTCATCCAACGATCAGAATATTTTCAAATTGCCATCTATCGACTCGAGTTATTCTTTTTGGCAATTCAGACTAGAGACAGACTGTTGAAAAGTTAAGGTATTAGCCTTATACTTTTCCGATACTGTCCATCCAAGGAGAATTTTTTTGGAGGATGGGATGGTTCGGAACTAGTTTTATTTGACCAACGGACAACAGTTTGAAAAATGACTCAGCTCCAATAAACATGTCTATCCGCTGAGGTTTATAAAAAATGGGTCCGCTAAAGGCGAGTTCTTTGTTAGGTCCAAATCTTTCACGTTCACTGACTGGTCAAAGTGACAACCCGAGATAGTTCTCAAACTCCAAAAGTCGAACGGAAACTCTCTCCCATTAATCGTTGACTCCACCGTTGAAGTGTGTATCTTTTTCTTAACCAGGGAATTTGCTTGACCAACTCCAAGCAAGTTGATACACGATTCCTCCCTATTAATCTGTAAGCGTTGAGCAAGATCTTCAGTAATGAAGTTCATTTGTGACCCAGAGTCAAGTAATGCTCGGACCAATATGTGCTCGCCATTTTTAGTTCTAACGCTTACAGCATAATAAATAAGCATATTGTTACGATAGATAGCAAAACTGCTCCCACGGCATCCGGCAACGCCGAAGTTGCGGAACCGATAGTTTAAGCGGGTGTTGAATCTCTGTTAACTCAGCCGGTAGCCATGTGCCTAAGCTTTCTTTTCTATTTGACACTCGAGGGAAGCGGACGAAAAGTGAGGACATATTAATAATTAAGTTTCATTATGAATTGTACAACTATTAATTTCTTAGGAATTTTAAGTGCTGCTATCGCAGAGTGGTTACCGACTGTACCACTGTTAGCCCTAACTGCCCCGTTATAAATGAAGAAAACAATAAACAATTATCAACAATTATCTACACGGGCGTCTTTACTCGGGCGACGCTAAACAACTTCGAATTCCCGCAACATTTCTTAAAATTCTTTTCTGGTGTATTCTTGGAGAATACTTGAGTCAGAGAGCGAAATCAACATGGAGATGCCTACTGGATCCGGTGGAGAGGCAAGATTGGTGGCGACATGCTTCCTCTGTGAAGTGGAGGACGAGCACGTGACAGTTGGCTGCATTGGCGCCGGCTGCGTGAGCATGTGCCATCCTAAGTGTGCTGCTCTAGAGGATGGCGGCGTAGGATGGATCTGTGCAGAGTGTGACGTAGACGTCCATGCACAGAACTCGACGTTGATCAGGACAGAAAAGCTGACCAGCCTGACGGCTGGGGACAACTACCAAAGTTACTCAGGTGGCGACCAGATGAGGATCGGAACTAATGACGTCGACGAGGCCTCGAAGGAAGCGCAGGACCTGCAGACGGAGCTAAGGTTGTTGGAGGAAGAAGATCAGTTGCTGCAGTTGCGACAACAACTTCTACATAGGCGAAAGGCGCTCATGGGCAAGCTCCCAAGGGAGAGGCTATCGGAGACTGGCCACGCAGAAAAGATGCCTGGAGCATCTAGTACACGGTACCAGAATGCTGGTACGGACACAATTGGTGAAGTTGCCGTTGTGGAAGGAAACGGCAGTACGCAGAGAGCCCACGCTGGGCCCCCATGGCTCTTTTCTACCAGTGGGGAGGACAACTCAGCTGCTAGGGTCACTAAACCTGTGGGCAGACCATCTTACGAACAATTGACAGCGAGGAAGACTAGCGTGGCTGAGTTGGTGAAGTTTTCCGGAAGGCCGGAGGACTAGCCCTTATTCATCGCAACGTATGAACAGACGACGGAGCTATGCGGTTTCACGGATGCCGAGAACCTAATCCGGCTTCGGCATGCGTTGGAAGGACCAGCCAAGAACGCAGTACAAAGTCTAATGCTGCATGCGGACTGTGTTCCGCAGATTATCGCCACGCTAAGAATGCGATTTGGGCGACCCGAAATTATCATTGACTTGTTAGTGACAAGGATTAAACAATTTCCTCAAGTGAGGGAGAATAAGCTTGAAATGCTGGTTGACTTCTCGGTGGAGGTGCAAAATGTTTGTGCCACGATGAAAGCCTCCAAGTTGGACCAGTACTTAAACAACCCAGCGCTCACGCAGGAGCTAGTGAGCAAGTTGCCATCGATGGTGCAGACGTTTTGGGGAATGCACAAAGCCTCTCTAACAGTGTGTACGTTGGCTGAGTTTAGTACGTGGCTTTCGCAGATGGCAGAAGGAGCGAGCCATGTGATAGTCCCAAGTTCGTCGTCAAGAACGGAGAGAAGGGGCACGGTACATACACACACTGTGCGCCAAGGCTGTCGGCTTTGCACCCGCAATTGCAGAACCCTGCAGGAGTGTCCAGCATTCCTGGAAATGACGACCCGCGATCGCTGGAATGCTACTCGACGGTGTGGCTTGTGCTGGAGATGCTTCCAGAGCCACAAGGTGGAAAGATGCGGCGTCCCCAATCCTTGCGGAATAGATAGATGCCTAGAACGCCATCATCCCCTGTTGCATCGCGGCAGCGCGGCTCCCGTCCAAGCCAGGTGCCATGCACACCGACAAGAAGGTGTGGAAATGCTGTTCAGGGTATTGCCAGTGACTTTGTATGGAAATGGTAGGCAAGTCAACACGTATGCCTTCATCGACGACGGGTCATCTCTAACCTTGATCGACGCCCCATTGCTAGAAGACCTTGGAGTGAAGGGACAACCGCAGCCTCTATGTATGCAGTGGACTGCCGGCATGCACCGGTATGAGGACAGCTCGGTCAGACTCGACTTAAGGATCTCCGGCATTGGCCAAACAAAGCAATATGATCTTCGCGACGTTCACTCGGTCCAGTCTCTTGATCTCCCGTCACAGTCGTTGGATATAACCCACCTGAAAGCACAACACACACACCTTCGACATCTACCACTGTCCGGATACGACTCAGAACAGCCCAGGCTCTTGATAGGTCTCAATAATTGCAAACTAGGGCGCGTGCTTCGCACCAAGGAAGGCACAACAGAAGAACCGATCGCTGAGAAGACCCGCCTGGGGTGGACGATTAAAGGAAGAAGCTCCAACAGTGTGGGTGATGACATAACCCCAAACTACCACGTGTTTCACATTTGTGCATGTGAAGCTGACGAGAACAAGGAGATCTTGCGCCTGCTTGAGCAGTGCATGTGGTCGGACGGCGGCCCTAGACCAGAGATGAATAGCAAGAGCGTATCCAATGATGACCAATTGGCTATACAGCAGCTGGAGAAGAACACGAGGCGTATAAATGGCCGATTTGAAACAGGTCTGCTTTGGAGGTATAAAGATGACAAAGATGACAAGATGACAATGGATAGTTTACCTACAGCCCTAAAGCGGGCACGATGCCTGTACCAGAAACTGACTCGCGAGCCGGAGCTTGCGAAGGGAATTCGCCGACAGCTAGATGAGTACGTGAAGAAAGGATATGCACGGCCCATTACGTCGGAAGAAGCTGAGGAAGAGCCATATTGGTATCTACCTATCTTTCCCGTGCTAAGCGCCAACAAGCCAGGAAAGCTTCGCATAGTCTGGGATGCGGCTGCGAAGACGGAAGGGAACTCGCTGAACACAATGCTGCTGAAGGGACCTGACCAACTAGCGCAGTTGGTACCAATACTTCACAGATTTAGAGAGAAACGTATTGCTATCGGCGGCGATATCGCCGAGATGTTTCATCAGGTCAGGATACACACAGAAGATCAGAGATACCAACGCTTTGTATTTATAGACCCACGCGCTGTGAAGGAATACCCACGCGCTGTGAAGTGCATATTGGAGAATCACTATGTAGACGACATGCTGGACAGCGTCGACACGGAGGAAGAAGCTATAAGCCTCGCGCGTCAGGTCCACTACATTCATCTTCAGGGCGGATTCCTCATTCGAAACTGGGTATCGAATTCCAGAGAAGTATTAAGCGCACTCGGCGAAGGAGCACCAACGCTAGTGAGACTAGACGAAACAACGGATGGACAGACCGAGAAGGTGCTGGGAATGTGGTGGGACACGAAAGAAGATCTCATCCGCTACCGTGTATCCCCACGATATCGCCATAAAGAACTTCTCGAAGGAAGGCAACGACCCACCAAACGAGAGTTTCTCAGTGTGTTGATGTCTATATATGATCTTTAGGGCTCATATCCTTCTACGTGATGTATGCAAAAATAATATTTCAGGAAATATGGCGAAGTGGATGTACCTGGGATGACCCCATACCTGAGGCAGAATGGATTAAATGGAAGCGATGGCTTCGGTATATCCCGGACGTTGAGAAAATGACCATCCCAAGATGCCACATGAGGGAGTCGCTGATGGGTTCAGAAGTGGAGATGCACACCTTCGTGGACGCAAGCGAGAATGGATTTGCCGCCGTGAGTTATATACGATTTGAAAATGAGGCAGGTATCCACTGCAGTCTACTGGGCAGCAAAACCAAGGTAGCCCCTCTAAGACCGACATCCATACCAAGGCTTGAACTCATGGAAGCAGTGCTTGGAGCGAGGTTGGCTCAAACTCTGGAGCTTTCACTTGGCGCGAAGCTGAGCACACGGACTTTCTGGACCGACTCGAGGACCGTGCTGAGTTGACTGCGATCGGACCAGAGGAAGTACAAACAATTTGTAGCATTCCGTGTGATCGAGATTCTAGACGGTACTAGCGTCAAGGACTGGCGCTGGGTACCTTCCTCCGAGAACGTGGCGGACGACGCCACTAAGTGGAACAAAGGACCTGATTTCAACCGAGAAAGTCGATGGTTAAACGGGCCGAGATTTCTTTGGCAAGAGAGGCAATTTTGGCCGCTGACAGAGGCGGAAGAAGGAGACGAGTCAGGAATGGAACTAAAGGCGCAATTCATCGGCGTATGTGACGGATTCACAGACGTAGGCCGCGCGACCCTCATAGACTATGAGCGGTTCTCAATCTGGACCCGTCTGCTATGGAGTACCGCAAGAACGGTATGGTGTATGAGGCGATGGAAGGCCAAGGCTCTACAACGATCGGACATCGAAAATCAGCCATCACAAGAAGATACCAGGGTCGCGGAGATACGGTTAATTTTACAAGGAAAACCATTGAAGAAGAATAACCTACTATACAAGCTGGGACCGTATATGGATTCCGATGGAGTATTAAAGCTGGATGAACGTGCCAAGATGATCAAGGGTAGCGACCGCGTCGTACTCCCCTGCGGCAACCACATTACGCAGCTCATCATAAAGGAATTTCACCGAAGATTACTGCACGCTAACCACGAGACGGTGGTCAACGAACTACGACAAAGATTTTGGATACCAAAGCTGAGATACACCCTTGCTCGGATACGACGCTCCTGCCAGCAATGCAAGAACCGACAGGCGGCCCCCAAACCACCGCGCATGGCGGAACTTCCCTATCCAAGAGTAGCAGCCTTTCATAGGCCTTTCAGCTACACGGGTGTGGACTACTTTGGGCCTCTGATGGTGGGGGTCAGACGCAGTTCAGAGAAACGATACGGCGTGCTCTTCACCTGCCTATCTACGAGGGCAATACATCTAGAGGTAGCGTATTCATTAACAACTGACTCTTGTATTCTAGCGGTGCGCAGTTTTATGGCCCGACGAGGGTGCCCAGTGGAACTCTGGAGCGACAACGGCACCAATTTTCAAGGAGCCTGCACGGAGTTGCGTAGGGCGTTTGAAGATGTGGACAAGGATCTACTCTCTCGCGAGTTCACTGAACCACAGATGGCATGGAAGTTCATTCCACCCTCATCTCCCCACAGGGGCGGGCATGGGAGCGCTTGGTGCGTTCCGTGAAGACGGCGTTGGAATCAATCCTCCTTGACAAACAACCATCGGATGAGTTGCTGAGAGCCACTCTAATGGAGGCGGTCGTCAACTCGCGACCCCTAACATACATCCCATTGGAAGATGAGAACGAAGAATCACTGACACCGAATCATTTCCTGCTTGGAAGCTCAACTGGAAGAGGACCGACGATGGAGCCCATACCCGAAGGAGTGCAGCTCAAGAAAAGCTGGAGGGAATCACAACAACTGGCGGACTCGTTCTGGAGGCGATGGCTTCAAGAATACCTGCCAGTGATCACTAGGCGGACCAAGTGGTGCGAAAAGGCTAAGCCTCTTGTAGAAGGGGATATCGTGTATGTGTGCGATCCCGGACAGCCGCGTAGCCAGTGGCCGAAAGGAAGAATCCTGAAGGAAGAATCCTGAATCCTGAACCTTAGCTCGGACGGTTAAGTAACGAGCGCCGCGGTGAGGACCCAATCTGGCGTTTATACCAGACCCGCGACGAAGCTGGCAGTTCTATCTATCGAGAGAAGTTTGGTAGATCCCTGGCGGAATATACAAGTGGGGAGTGTTACGAGTGGTTACCGACTGTACCACTGTTAGCCCTTGCTGCCCCGTTATAAATGAAGAAAACAATAAACAATTATCAACAATTATCTACACCGGCGTCTTTACTCGGGCGGCGCTAAACAACTTCGAATTCCCGCAACACATATATAATGCTTATTTGGTTCGCCGAGATGAGACATTCGTTATCGTAAATTCTTTTCAGACTAGCATTAGCTTTGTTATAATTACTCTCGGTGACGTCACTAACAAAACCCTTTCTAGGGACATGCTTTTCATGTGACGAAAAAGGGCCATCAAGATGTAACGCAGGAGGAGGATGTAAATTTGGTGGTGGTAACGCCAAGTTGGCCGTCAGCCAACGGGTACAACAGGGGGACCTACGCGCAAGCAATTGCGTGCCGTAACTGTGTACACCGCTGGTAGTGCGACTATACTCTCCACGTGAGGGCGGCTGCACTATGGGGTTTTTGACCACTTTATGTGGCATTTAATCATTTTTTGAAAGTTCTCTGATTTAAAAAAAATTATTGGGAATGTATTAAGAAAACATCAAACTATTATGCCTCATACTCAAAATATTAATTATTAGCACCATATGCTAGCATAACAGCTGCAAAGTCAGCTGTTGCATCCGAAAACACGTGCGCTAAGTTTGCAATTTTCACATAGTGATTTGTGAAATTAGATTATTTGTTTAAAACTCCATTTAAAAAAAAAAATAGTAATGGACAGTGATTTCACAGGTTTGTACTACATGTTAAATGTATTAACTGTTTAAATTGTGCGTGTCTATACTAAAATTTGGTCATTTTATAGATGCACCTTAAGCTGAATTTTGGGAAACAAATTTCAACTTTGAGAAGAGTTTTGAAATAGAAGGAATAAAAAGTTTTCAATGCGTCCAAGTGTATGTTGTAGCGTTGTCAATACTGAGCAAAGGCTGTTAGTCTTATTGTGCACTTTTCTCCACTATTGGTGCAATTTGAATTTTTCTTAGATAACCTCACTTTCTCCAAAAGCCGACTTGGTCGCTGCTTGGAACAGCGAAAGGGGCCGGGCTGAGCATCAAATGGCTGTACAATGTTTTTTTTGTAACGCCATGCAAATAACAATGTGGATAATGCCGTTTTGAAAAAAAGCCACCAGTTTTTAATGGAAGTAATGGAAAATACGGTGCTTTCAGTCGGCTATTTTGGAGAAGAAGCGTCTGAGTCCTGAAACAAGCTGTATAAATCTGACAGGCGTCACCATTTAAGAAAACATTACCGATTACATTCCATCGCTGATGTGTTCAACAGAGCTATGGATACATAAGATCCAATTATTTCGTCCTTAATTTTTCGAGATGCAAAAAAAACTAAAGAGTCTTTTACTTCCAATTGACGTAATTGAGATGCTTTCGTACGAATACGAAAATAATGTTTGTCTCGAAGATGACGAATTTAACGATTCCAGCTTTTTTTTTTTAGATAATATTGATATATTATAGAAAATGAAAAAAAAGAATAATAAGATTAATACTACTGTATGAAGGAATTTTTCTTTTTCAACTTTTATATGCATTTGTATGGAAGAACACTGAAATCCGGTATTTTAAACTGACAGTTCCCAAGGAAAGCGTTGTCCGATTTGGTTCAAAATTGCTATATCGTATTAAAATAGCAACAAATATCAGCTCCTTAAATTTCATTAATTTATCTTTACTTTTACCAAATCGTTCCTATGGGAGCTATAGGGTATAGTTTCCTGATCCGAACGATTTTCATACTATATGTGCCTAGGATCAAATAATAACGATTGGTAAAGTTTCATGTCGATATCTCCAAAACTGACCGAGTTATTAATTAATGCCACAAAAACAGGTCAAAAACCCCATAGTGGGCTGGTAGCAGGTCCCGGTAAGGTCATGTCTCTGCCGAGGATGCTGGCTAATGGTAGTCGGGCGGGGAGAAGAACACTCCCTTCCTTAAATTACCCCAATCCAAGGTGGAACAGCATATGCCGAAGGATGCGTGTCCGAGGGGGGGCTCGGACGCTAATATGCGAACTCTGGGGGACAGGCCGACCTCCCAGTTTTAACCAGGCTTATCGTGACAAGCGGGCTATGTCATGATGGACGAACCCCTTCCCGCCTACTCGTGGGACCAAAACATGAACAATACTTTACCTAATAAAAACCAAAGCGGAGAGCGGAACTCCCTAAAAAAGACCGGAAATGGGGCCAACGGCCCGTCAAACTCCAAAGCCCTCAAAAGCCAAGGAGTTGCTGAGATGGAGAAGTCCCCCACAGAGGGACAACATCTGGAGGCGGGACGCGCCGGTGCGGTGGAGGTTGCCAAGGCAACTTCTTCCAAAGCGGGGCTAGCTATGGGACCACCGAACGGTGTGGAGAGGAAGACCCCAGGGTCAACCTCTAAACCAACCGGCGGAGCCCCTAAGGCGAACCCTGGCCCGGAAGCGTCTCACTCGACGCAGCGTAAAGGATCCTACAAGGACAGAAGAAGAGCAGCCTTCATTCTGATGAGGGCGGACCCATCGGCCGAAGCCAACCCGGACCAGGCCGAGATTATTAAGTGGGCAAGGGAGATCCTACCCGACTTCAATCCGGAAAAGGCGGGAGAAAGGCTGGATCCGAAGAGACGCACTGGGTCAGACCCTGCCAAGGAGGCCGCGCAAAGCGCGAAGAGGCAGAGGTCCACAGAGGGAGAAGCCCCCCAGGCCAAGAAGAGGAAGGCCCAGCCGCAGCCGCCCAACCGCTCGTTCGCTGAGGTTACGAAGGGAAGAACCCTAATTGGAGTCCTGGACAAGGGCTCCAAGGATGGGCTCATCCCCAAGGAACTCTGGCGACGAGTGGTAAACGAGTTGCATGGGCGCTTCGTGGAGGAGATGCTGCGAAGTGGAGGACCCCCACCAGAATGCGAAGACGCAGGATGGTACCAGGGAAGCGTTAAGGTGATTGCTTGCCAAGACGCGCGATCGGTAGAGACTTACAAGCGGATGGTTGCATCGCTTGGAGAGGTCTACCCTGGAGCTAAGCTGGTCGCGGTTGACTGGGACGAGATCCCCAGCAAACCGAGGGCGCGAGTGTGGCTCACAGAAAAGCCAGCCGACCCTAAGACCATCCTGACAATGCTTAGGATGTGCAACCCGACGCTCCCCACGGTGGACTGGAGAGTCGCCAAGGTCGAGGAGGCGGTGGGACTGCGGAGGCAGGTCGTCCTCACACTAAATGAGGAGACCGTAAAAGCCCTGGAGAGGACGGAGCACCGGCAAAAGTACGGATTCGAGCATGTCTCGGTCCGTATCTATAAATCTGATGCGAAGGCCAAGCCAGGAGGTATTGGTCTGGAGGCAGACACACAAGAGCCAGACTTGGAGGAGCCGACCGAAGAGGGGCACCCGGAGGAAATGTCGGATGTGGAGGAGGACATTCTAGAAGGGTACACCTCGGAGGAAAGCGACTTGGCAAGGGCGCTTGGTGGTGTCGGAATGGAGGAGGACTCTCTGCTGGGCTCCGAGACGGAGGCAGAGATAACTGTGGTGGAGGCTTGTAAGGATGTCCCTGACGATCTTACAAATAAACCTCCACCACAGTAAAGCAGCGTCAGCTGCCCTCCTTCTCCACCTCGCCGAGAGTGGAGCAGATGTGGCCCTCATCCAGGAACCCTGGATCCTAGGAGACAGGATTCTTGGGCTGGGGGCGTCGGAGTTCAGGCTCTGCAAAGCCAACACTGCAGGTAAAAGGCGAGCCTGCATCCTCGCAAAAAAGAACCCTAACCTCTTTTTGCTACCCAATTTCAGCAATGAAGGCCACGTAGCCGCAGCCGTAGAGAGCCCAAATGGCCCTCTAAGGATATGTTCGGCGTATATGGGCCACGACCAGGAGACCCTTCCCCCGCACCCGCTGATCAAACAGCTGGTGGAAGACAGCAGGAAGCACAAGATCGACCTGATCATAGGTTGCGATGCTAACGCCCATCATCATCAGTGGGGCAGCGCTGACACAAACGAGAGGGGTGAGTCAATTTTCGATTTTATCCTAGGCTCCAATCTTTTGGTGGGTAACAGGGGTACCGAACCCACCTTCATAGTCAAGAACAGAAGAGAAGTACTTGACGTCACTCTTTACTCTGAATCACTAGCAGTCAGGATTGTTAGATGGGGAGTCCTAGAGAAACACTCATTCTCAGACCACCGTTACATAGAATTAGTGGTCAACTTCGAGAACTTCAATCGACTAACGGTACGCAACCCGAGGAAAGCGAACTGGGAGTTATATAGAAAGAAGCTAGATAGTTCCTTGGGAAATCCTCCAACAGGGAATGTTGATAGTAGGGCAGCCCTGGATGCCATGGTGGACACGCTCACGGCAGCGTGCGCCAGGGCATTCAATAAAGCTTGTCCCAAAATCAGATCGGGCAAAAGCAAGTCAAAGAAACCATCATGGTGGTCGCAAACACTTGCGCCCTTTAAAACCAAGGCCCGCAAGGCCTTCAATTTTGCCAGAAAAACAAACTTGGAGACAGCCGGGGAGTCGTACAAAGCGGACCTTAGGCGATATAACAAAGAGCTTCGCAAGGCAAAAAGGAATGCCTGGGCCGAGTTCTGCACGAACATTCAGCAAACATCAGAGGCCTCTCGACTCAGGAAGGTCCTTGCAACTACTGCACCAAATGTAGGATACATTAAAACCTCAGAGGACAACTGGACATCGTCCAGCAAAAAAACCCTAGAGGCTCTCATAGAGACACATTTCCCGGGATGCTCTCGAGAAGACACAACCCTGGAAATGCAGACACAGGGGAATAGCCCACCCACCACTAATCCACTTGAATACCTATTGAATGATAGAT